ATGCATTGCACAGAAGCTGCCACGGCAGAGCCAAGTGCAAGGCAAGCAGCCATGGCCAGGGGGACTGCCCATCAGCCCTGGGAGTCTGAGGATGTGTCCTCAGACCCCAAGTCCCCAGTGCAAAGCCAGGCCGCTCCCATTGCAGACCCTTCCCTGTGGCTCTGAGGAAATATTCAGCCTGTTGTGTCCTTTCTGTTTTTTGTCTGTTTGTACATCCCTGGCTCTTTCTTGGTTTTTAGTTGTGAGACACGCTCATTGTTAAAATAACTAGGGTGCCCTCGAACTCCCTCTGTGGCTCAGGCAGGCCTTGAACTTGGCTGATTCTCCTGACTCAGCCTCCTGAGCTGCTGGGATTCCCGGGGTGTACTGCCCAGTTGGTAAGTGTAATTTAATCCTGTGTTTGATATTTGTAAATGATAGGTGCTCCTGTGGGAATTTTTCTCGTGACCAGTGCCAAGCCATCTCCCATCAACCTTGTTTGTGGGTTTGGGCTCCTGCTGAGAAGAACTTTTCCTGTGTCAGTTCTCAGTTTCTGCCATTGCATCAACACTCCCTCATTATCGTTTCCCCGGCTCCAACCTTCATCAGTTATAACTCTTACCCTGTACCTGAGATCAGCAGCCACTCTTCCAAGACTATTGTGCTCATGCTTTCTAAAATGCAAAGAAACATTTGTGCCTCCTTGCCTCAAAACACACACACAAGCATGATTATGTGGCACAAGCCCATATCTCCCTCATTTTATGAATTATTTCATTGATTAATATTCAATAAGTGAGTAAAATACTAGAAACATTAGGGTCATGGATGAGGCAATATCAGGAATGAGAAAAGACAGGATAGGACGGAGGCATCTCATCTCCTACAGACTTTATGCTGAAAAAAGATGCTAAAAGTAAAAATTTCAGGAAAGCATCAGGTATCTTTTTGCTTTAAAATTGCTCACTTCAAGGTAACTATTAAAAGAAAACATTTAGATTTTACACTTTCCGTTGGCTGTGAGTTAAATAGGAACTTGGATTACTGGAAACAGAAATTATTTAAAATTTTATTTATTTGTTTTATTTTACGTGTGTGTGTGTGTGTGTGTGTGTGTGTGTGTGTGTGTGTGTGTCTGAGTAAATGTATGTGCAGCATGTACATGCAGAAACGTGGGAGGTCAGGCAGGTTAGGAGAGAGCATCGGATCCCTTGGGACTGAAGTTATAGACAGTTGTGAACTACCAGGTGGGTCCTGGGAACCGAACCAGGGTTTTCCGCAAGAGTAGTAAGTCCTCTTAACTGCTTAGCTACCTTTCTAGCCCATGTAGTCATGATTTATTCCTAATTCCCACATAGCTTGGTGCCTTGGACATATCAAGCTTGCAAAAAAAAAATCTTAAAGATTATTTGCCAACATGAACTTTTTGCAATAAAACCATGTTTGAAAATGTGAGCAGTATAAAATCTACCTGGTTTAAAGAAAAGATGACTACCACAACTTTGATCAAACTTAGGTACTCACCATTAATGCTGAAGGAAACATTGTTCAGACAACATTGTGCCTCAAATTGTATAATACTAATTATTTCTCCCAGATGGAGTTTCACTCCGTGGCCCAGGATGGCCTTAAACTCACGACCCTCCAGCTTCAGTTTTCCAAGTGCTGGGATTAGAGGTATGTTCTGCCATGCCAATCTTAACACTGAACTTTTAAAGCAAGGTTCTCCTTACTTTGTACTCTCTTATTAAGATAACAGTCCACTAACTGGTCAAGATGAGAGGATGCTTTGTCTTATCACGCCAGCAATATAAACTCTTCAAGGACAGAAATGAAGTAATTTCTGAGGGATCTAAGCAGACTGTATCGCTTGCACTTCCATCTACACGACAGGTGTGAGACAAGGACTTCTTCTTTACACTGGACATCTTACTGTCTAGAAAGTTCTCTCCCTTTCCTGAGACATAAATTAGTACATGTATAGCAAGAAAGAATGTTAATCTACAGGACCACCCATGTGCTTGGAATATATATGGAGTTGCTTCTGACACCAGCATCCCTTTGGGTAGGAGTTGGGTTGCTCTGTCACTTCCTACAAGTAATACCTCCAGACTTCTTGAAGGTTCCACTAATCCCTTACATCTCGTTTCACTGTTATTTAAGTTAAAAAGACCCATTCCTGTAGACTACTCTCCTTTACTTGAATTAATCAAAGGAATAGATGGCTCTTTTTAGAAGATGTCATTGTACCATTCCCCTGTCAATCAATGATCAGGGGCTAACTGTGATAACATAAGAATGGTTTTCTTTTCTTCCTTCCTTCCTTCCTTCCTTCCTTTCTTCCTCTCTCTCTCTCTCTCTCTCTCTCTCTCTCTCTCTCTCTCTCTCTCTCTTTGCAGTTTTTGTTTTGTTTAACAATAGAATGACGGACTTTTAGGAAGATGGTCACTTAGGAGTCCCTTGGTGTATTTTCTTGAACATCTGATTGTATCTCACAGTGGACGAATGTGGACAAAGCTGGTCTTTGCTCACTAGGCACATACATCCACACACTTGTCCTGACTTACAGATCCTCTTCATGGCCGTGTTTGAGTGGAATGAACTTGACATGGAGCTACACCAGCAACCCTGCAGTTCCTCATTCCCCGAATCTTCCAGTGCTTGTCTTCCCTCTTCAGGTGACTATTCAATGGTGCCACCTTCCTAGATGGCTCTGTCTAGTGTCACAATAGTCATTAGATCAGCGCCATTAGCTCTGAACAGTGGCTTTCTCAACTGTCGCTTTGCATATCATCCCCCCCCCCACCCCCCCCCCCACCCCCCCCCCCACCCCCGCGTAGGAACGGAAGCTCTGTGAGGGCAAGGCGATGCCTGCTGAGGCCCACTGTTGAAGCCCAATAGTCAGTGTAGTGCCTGAGTCACGTGTGAATAAATAGGTGAACGTGGTGTCATGTGCTACTCTTACACTGCCCTTCCCAAGAGAAACAGAACCGAAGCACGTGTATAACTACTATTTTCTAGCAGTCACAATAAAAAAGTAAAAAGCCAGACTAGTTTTAGTAATATATGTCACTGAACATGCCTCAACTAAGCTTATTTCGACATATAATCAATGTAAGAAAATTACATTATACATCACCCTTTTATATTAACTCCAACTATGATATGTATTGCACACTAACAGGCCTCTTGATTCAGACTCAAAATTTTCTTTTGAAATATTAATCATTTAAAGTTCACAAAACTTACAGTTCAAAAAAATTGGATTGATGTGTTCAAGTTGTTCTTAACATATTTAATCTTTTTCCAATCACCAAATTGAGGATAATTGTTTTTCTTTAAATGGAAATTAAGTGAAATTTAAAGTTGAGTTTTGCTCTCATATTAGCCAGTCTGGCATGAAGAGCTTTGTGTGACTACAGACACATGTATTGGCTGGGCTAAACCGTGTGTTACAACGCACATGCAGTAAACACAGTGGGATAACCGTTTGAAACCATGAGAAAGTTAGGGATCAACACGAAGTTCCAATAAAACACCTTAGAACACTTTCAAAACCGTACCTGTATTAAGATTACTTATTTTACTTGAGTTTCAACCCAAAAGATCTTGTTCAGTGAGAAACAGATGAATTTGTGATGGCCACCTAAATGTTCATGTAATAGTCCAGAGTGGATGAATGTTATTAACACGCCACTTACAGATGCAATCAAAAATCGCCACTGTAAGCTGACGTTACCGAGCTTTCATAGTAGCTGGTTTTCCTAGAAAATCCCATGTTTGCGGTATCCCTTTCCCTGGGTACTGACATGGACTTGGGAATCAGTCCCACGTTCAGCAGGTACTTCTCAACGAGGCACGGTGTAGTAATCCATCCCTCTCCAGTATCCTGAAATGTGGGGATGTGCGAAGGCATTGCTGTGCAAGTGAACGTCTTCTGTCATTCTGTTAGGAGGCAGGGAGACTGAAAACTGGACTATTTTGTTTAAAAGTGATCTCAGGCCAGTCACTGTGTCACAGAAGAAAACAGGTTTGGTAACTTGTGACCACGTTACATCTGACCATTCACAGAAGGCCACACTCTTTCGATCTGTATAAACTTAAAACTTACAATGTATTTCAGAAATGGACGGAGGAACATATTTTAGATGGGGACCCATTTTTAAGGAGTCTGTAAAAATCAATACTGTTGGTTATATAGGAAGTGGGAAGAATGAGGCTTAATTTTTAGTTTAATTAAATCTGTAGTCTAGGTTCCTGAGCAATGATATGAATGAATTTTTAATATATATTAAATATTTGAAATTACAAATCTAGGCCACTGTGGCCAGGTGTGGTGGACACGCCTTTAATCCCACCACTCCAGAGGCAGGAGTAGGTGGATCTCTGTGAGTTCAGGACTACCACGGCTGTGTAGAGAGACACTGTCTCAAAACAGGAAACAAAAATCTAGGTTACTTTAAAATTTCATTATTTATTTTGTTATAATTCCTGAAACAGCACTGTCTTAGCAAAAGAGTCAGTAAGACTAAGAGTCTGTAAGGTAGGCTATGCGTCCTCAAATTCAGAAGAACCAAATACACTTTCGCAGTATTAGTAAAATAAAAACTCAGCACAAGAGGGTCAAAGTGTGTCCCAAGGTAATTGTCTCCTCCACAATGAGATAACTACGTATGGAATAATAGGGGCAAGTTCAGTGCACTAAGCATTTAACGGTGAAAACAGGAACATTTAAAATACTCTGTTCATGGTTAAAAATAAGTTGTACTCTAAGTCCAGCGACCATTGCCAGGGAGAACCAAAGTTGAGAAATTTCTATTAAAAACATGACTCAGAGGAAGAAACACAGGAGCTGGTAATGAAGGAAATGATCTGGGACCCACCCCCACTGGTCACTCCTACAGCCATGTGGTCGGGACATCTTTAAAAGGGAGTTATCTGGACTCAAGAGGATCATAGCACCTTCCCCTATCCTGCAGCCTTTTTCTCACCTGGAAGAGAATTCTCAGAAAGTTCACAAAATGTGTGATGCCTTTGTGGGAACCTGGAAACTCGTCTCCAGTGAAAACTTCGATGATTACATGAAAGAAGTGGGTAAGTGCCGTGGGGGATAGGGCTTCCCTAGAGGGGAGAGGCTTGTAGCTGGCCTTCAGCTTGGGAGCAGTTGCTTTGGGAAATGCTGTTTTCCCGCATAGAAGCTGTAGAAGCCACTAGAAAGAGCCTGTTCTAGAAACTTCCTAAATCAAAGCTTCAACCTAGTGCTTCCTGCAGGTGAATCAGCACGGAAAGGAGTGTAAATGAAAATCTTTTATGATCTATAGAATGACAAGGTGTCACCCTCACTACCACACGTGTGTTTCTGTGGTTCACTTGGCTCTCTGTCTGTTTTTAGCATCTCCTTTTACACAAAAAATTTGCAATAACTTGGAAAGAAAATATACTTTTTTTTTGTAGCGTGGAGTAATTTTTACTTAAAACTGAAGCCATGATTTCAAGCCCATCTTAGAAAAAAATTATGTTGGAAAATATATTTTAGGAGAATTTTTTCTGTCTCAGTGTCACAGTAGACAAAGGCTTGACTTCAAGAAATAGTTTTCTTCATGGGGTTAAGCATTCGTTGGTTTGGAATGATATGGAATGTCATAGATTTAGTGAGTGATTCAAAAGGAAAGTTGGGCATGTGAAACACGTATAGAATGTGCCTTTCCGATAGTAGAGGTTCTGTCAACACTGCCCACATGCTGCTGTGTGAATGGTCACCAAACAATGTTGGCAGCAAGACAGTGGCCATTAACCAGTGATGTTCTCTTTCAGGGAGCTTCTGCTTTGAACCCCATCTCTCTGTGACCTGCAGAAGGTCAGATCTCATATTACAGAGAATCTTCAGTAGGACAGGATCCCCTAAATTTTCAAAGGCTTAACCTTTCCCTCAGTTACAAAGTGGGAACTTTTGGTGATCTGTCAATACTGTTCTCTTGTTTGTAGATAAGAAGTTTATCAGAAATTTCAGCATGACTGACCTTTTAACGTATCAGCTAGGTACTGTTCAGTATGCTAGTTCCTATGTACTGACTTAGAAACACCAGGGTTCGTATCGCTTTTAGCTATTGACTTTTTGAAACATTTTGTACTTGTAATATCCATACCTAAATTATAATAACATTTTAAACTGTGAAAGACTCATAATTAAAGGCAATAAGATAGTTCCTGGATGAAATTGGCAGCTATAATTGAGGCACAGTGGGCAGGTATTGCCTTCTACAGTCAAATAAAATCAGAAAGAAACAAGTGAAGCTGTCGCCTTTCCCAGGCTCGGTCCCTCTGGAATTGTTCCCACATTGCATCTCTCCTGTACTTATTAATTGTACTGACTGTCGTGTTATGCGGCAGAGTGAGGATTCAAGGCAGAAATACATCATTTTCTCACTGTGGCTACTTTTTAGACAAAGAACCAAGTCACAGGCTCCACATCACTTGTCTCGTGCTCTGTTTCTCTCTCAAGTCAGCCTTAATTCTAACTCTAATTCTAAAAGTGGTCACTTTTAGTTAAAGAAATTACCCTTATTTAAGCACTTGTGCTGGAAGAGTCAGCACATCTGTGACTGTGGGAATTCTGTGTAACACATGCAGAGAGAGCACGTTGTTACTGTTCATCCAAGGCTGTAAGCTGTTCACCCTCTATGGGAAAGCATTTCCCTCATTTAAACAAACAAGACCCCACAACTTGAGTGACTGTGATGCGCAGTGTTAGTGTCCAAACTGTTGTAAACATTGGAATTCTGATTTCTTGAGTTCAAAAGGTATTTTCTGAGTCCCCCTTTAATTTTCCTTACACATTATTGGGAATGATATTGCTGTTCTAAAATGGCATGGTATGTAGTAAACGTTTTTCCTATTAGAGAAATTAATCAGCGATCTTCCTTACATGAGGGAGTAATATGGGAAGGAAGCCTAGAAAATGACACTTGGCAACAAGTGCTGTGAAATGGGGTTTCTGGACACTCAAAATAGACGACCTTTAACCCACTAACTCTATATCAGGCCTGGTCTCTGACTTTAGAGGTTTTGTAAAAATTACAACTTTTAATATTTAAGAAAGAATGAAGTGATCAGTCTCAATCATAAACACAAAATAGAAATAGTGTACATACACAGATATCATCACCATATTATTATAGATACATGATAGATATGCTGACACATATAAGGTACATACACATCGAGATACGAAGAGTTAATGTCTTTATAGAGTCTGTTGAAATCAATGATGAGGCTCCTGAAGAAAAGAAAGGGGCAAGCTAAGAGGAAATCTGGATGGGTTGCTCCTGAATGTATCCTCGGGGATTAGGGCCAACGTGCTTAGCTGCGTAGCTGGTTTCAAAAGAGCCTCAAGTAATCTGGCATCTTTTCTTCATGGGCACAAAAACGTAAGCTTGACATGTTTTCTCTTCCTAACTGCAGGAGTGGGCTTTGCTACCAGAAAAGTGGCCGGCATGGCCAAGCCCAACATGATCATCAGTGTGAACGGAGACGTGATCACCATCCGATCAGAGAGCACTTTTAAAAACACTGAGATTTCCTTCAAACTGGGCCAGGAGTTTGATGAAATCACCGCAGATGACAGGAAAGTGAAGGTGAGGGGCAAGGAGCTGGGGCAGAGGAGGGCCTGGCATCTAATGTCACAGCCTGTAAGAAGTGATTTCAAGACAACGGGAAGATGAGCTTTCCCTTGTAGTCTGAAGGCCTCTGAGCTCCCACGTTGAAACTATCGCCATCAGAGTGCAGATTGCTAAGTTGTCCTGATATTAAAATTGATCAGCATATTTTATGTGTCATGCAGTAGTGTATATGAAGTAAGTTAGAGCAATACAATTTTAGAGGAAGTTTATAAAAGAATAAAAATCACCCTAATGCCACCACTTCAGCATAGTTTTGTCATCTAGTTTCTCTCACAAAACATTCTTTTTTTTCAAATTGCAATTTATGTTCTATTTCTATTCAGAACATATAAGTGTGTGTGTGTGTGTGTGTGTGTGTGTGTGTGTGTGTGTGTGTGTGTGTGTGTGTCTTCTACATTATTGTTTTCAAGATAGGTTTCTTTTTTTTTTTTGAAGGTCTTCATTTTTTTTATTCTTTATGTACAAAGATTAGCATGATCTGTTTCATTGTGTAGACAGTCTTGAATAATCCATTCAAGGTCTCTTAGTCCAACTTAATGAAGCCTATGTCCTCGCGTACTGGCAGAAACACTGACAGCACATGTTCAGGCTCATGTTTCTTTCTTTCTTTTTCTTGTTGGACTACATTCTTGTCACTTAGAGTAAGGACCTCAGAATATTCGTTTGAGCCAGGGTTCCATGTTTTCATTCACATTTTTGGCCTTCATTTGCACATTGCAATCTCTCTTCCTGTGCCTGCAGAGCATCATAACCCTGGATGGTGGGGTCCTAGTTCAGGTGCAGAGGTGGGATGGAAAGTCGACCACCATCAAGAGAAAACGAGAGGACGACAAGCTGGTGGTGGTGAGTACACTCTGCATACTTAGTTGTGACCCACCATCAGGGCCTCAGGACCACTGCTCTACTTCAGGAAACTCCCCTGCTGTGTAGAACCAAAGGTTCATTTGTGGTATTTGTTTATTTGGAGATGAGGGTTGAGTCTGTGTTCTCACACTTACCCAGTGTGCTCTGCCCCTCTGAGCTACTGCTCCATACTCTCATGCTGTCATGCTCCACCCAGGCATGCTTTCCCCTTGTAGCAATCCCTGCTTCCTCCCCAGTGTCCCAGGCTGCCTGGTGCAGCACCCTCACCAGAACATACTTCCGCTGTGGCATCCACTCCCCATGGAGATTTCCCAGCTCCCTGAGAGGAAGACCTTCTTGGTCTTTGCATCACCCTAAGCAATTATACTCGGGGATGGAAGTACAATGCAAGCACAGGATTCTAGAACATGTGTTTTGTGTTGAATATCATTTGATTTCCAACACTGAGAAATACGAAAATTAAATTCACGCTGTTGTCTCAGTGATTGACCTTGACAATTTTGTACCCATGTCTAGGAATGTGTCATGAAAGGCGTCACTTCTACCAGAACTTATGAAAGGGCGTGAGCCAAAGGAAGTAGCCCTGGACTGACATTTGCATCGAACTCTACAATACTTGGTGGGATGTATTGGTTTTAAAAAGATATGATTTTCCACTAATTAGCAAACAACTAATTTTTCCCAAAGCTGAATGTTATTGAATATGGTTGTGTTGGTTAAATAAAACCTTTTTAGATTTAGAAAGTGGTGTAATGATATTTTTATTGTGTGTTTATTTTCTACACATAATTGAGTGAAGAGAACAGAAAAATTGCATTATTATTTTGGCTCTGATAGAAGTAATAAGATCTTTCATAATATTGCATGATAGAAAAGTCAGTGTCTATGAACTTTCCCAGACAAGAGACTGTATATAGGAACCAAGACTGAGTATTAAGCCCTGCTTTAACATACTTAAAATTAGAAACTATCTGTCCAAGACCCAGGGTAATTTTAAACACAATGAAATTATCCACATCCATGTGATCAAGCATGCACATCCATGTCTGCCCTGTTCTGGAGCACTGTGACTCAACAATGCATGCAATGCTATAGAAAAGAACTGTAGTCTCCACAGTGTGTGTGTGTGTGTGTGTGTGTGTGTGTGTGTGTGTGTGTGTGTGTGTGTGTGAGTGTGTGAGTGTGTGGTGTGTGTAGCAAAGAACTCTAGTCTCCACAGTGTGTGTATGTATGTGTGTGTGTGTGTGTGTATGTGTGTGTAGAAAAGAACTCTAGTCTCTACAGTGTGTGTGTGTTGAAAAATCTCTAGTCTCCACAGTATGTGTGTGTGTGTAGAAAAGAACTGTAGTCTCCACAGTGTGTGTGTGTTTGTGTGTGTGTAGAAAAGAACTGTAGTCTCCACAGTGTGTGTGTGTGTGTGTGTGTGTGTGTGTGTGTGTAGAAAAGAACTCTAGTCTCCACAGTGTGTATGTGTGTGTGTGTAGAAAAGAACTGTAGTCTCCACAGTGTGTGTGTGTGTGTGTGTGTGTGTGTGTGAGTGTGTGAGTGTGTGGTGTGTGTAGCAAAGAACTCTAGTCTCCACAGTGTGTGTATGTATGTGTGTGTGTGTGTGTGTATGTGTGTGTAGAAAAGAACTCTAGTCTCGACAGTGTGTGTGTGTTGAAAAATCTCTAGTCTCCACAGTATGTGTGTGTGTGTAGAAAAGAACTGTAGTCTCCACAGTGTGTGTGTGTTTGTGTGTGTGTAGAAAAGAACTGTAGTCTCCACAGTGTGTGTGTGTGTGTGTGTGTGTGTGTGTGTAGAAAAGAACTCTAGTCTCCACAGTGTGTATGTGTGTGTGTGTAGAAAAGAACTGTAGTCTCCACAGTGTGTGTGTGTGTGTGTGTGTGTGAGTGTGTGAGTGTGTGGTGTGTGTAGCAAAGAACTCTAGTCTCCACAGTGTGTGTATGTATGTGTGTGTGTGTGTGTGTGTGTATGTGTGTGTAGAAAAGAACTCTAGTCTCTACAGTGTGTGTGTGTTGAAAAATCTCTAGTCTCCACAGTATGTGTGTGTGTGTGTAGAAAAGAACTGTAGTCTCCACAGTGTGTGTGTGTTTGTGTGTGTGTAGAAAAGAACTGTAGTCTCCACAGTGTGTGTGTGTGTGTGTGTGTGTGTGTGTGTGTGTGTGTGTAGAAAAGAACTCTAGTCTCCACAGTGTGTATGTGTGTGTGTGTAGAAAAGAACTCTAGTCTCCACAGTGTGTGTGTGTGTGTATGTGTGTGTGTGTGTATGTGTGTGTGTGTGTGTGTGTGTGTAGAAAGGAACTCTAGTCTCCACAGTGTGTATGTGTGTGTAGAAAAGAACTGTAGTCTCCACAGTGTGTGCGTGCGCGTGTGCGCGCGCGCGTGTGCGTGTGTAGAAAAGAGAGAGAGAGAGAGAGAGAGAGAGAGAGAGAGAGAGAGAGAGAGAGAGGTTCTTGCTATCTAGTCCAGGCTGATTTTGAACGGCAATTCTTCTGCCTCAGCCTCTTATGTTGCTGGGGTTATAGGTATACACCACCATGCTCAGGCAGTCTGAAATTTTCAGTCTAAAACAGGTGTTTTAGTCAGTCTTTTGTTACTATAATAAAATTCTGAGGCTATTTACTTTATAAAGAAATAAACTGTTGGGTGGTGGTGGTGCACTCCTTTAATCCCAGCACTCCAGAGGCAGAAGCTGGAAGATCTCTGAGTTCTAGACCTGTTTGATCTACAAAGCAAGTTCCAGCACGTCCAGGGCTATACAGAGAAACCCTGTCAAAAAAAAAAAAAAGGAAAGAAAGAAAAGAAAAAGAAGAAAGAATTTACTCAGCTGTCAGTTTTGGAGGCTGAAAGCTCAAGATTGTGCAGCCCCAGAGAGTTGGCGCCGACCTCATGGTAGGTGTTATCATGGGGAAATGATAAGGGAGAGGGACATCTGGACACAGAGCAGAGAGGAGCCATTCTTGTCCTGTACTGTTATGCCCACGTCATGAGCCCCCCAGAGACCTCCAGGAGTCTGAGTTCATATGCAGAACCAAAGAGCCTTTATTGCAAGCTTAAGCTTGGGCTTCCCATCCTTTCCTACATAAGGGTAGGATCAGGGAGAGCTGGACCATCATGCAGTACCCCTTTCCTGCGTTTATGACCATACCATGAATGCATGGGACTAACTCAGTGCTGCAGGCCCATCTTCTAGATGGGACAGCTTAATGTGTTTCATTCTGCATGGTCAGAAGTCTTGTCAAACAGGAATTGGTACTGGAGTTGCTGTAAGGAAATCGACAACTTATATACAGATTATGTAAGCTATCCTTTATTTTCTAGAGCATTTAGTACTTGTTTGTCTCAGTTCTGATTGGTCCCCCACAGGGTACAGTGTGTGGCTTTTCCTGGTTGTTGTAATGATGAGGCCTAGTCCCAGTATGGTTAGTCTGCAGCCTGTCATGGCTGCACTAATGTTAAGTTAGGCCTCTTCAGCACAACAACTTGTTCTTGTGGGATCTACCAGGTCCCACTAATCCCATCTGAGGAGATTCCACACACACACACACACACACACACACACACACACACACACACACACACTCACACTGCCCTAACAATCTTTCAGTAAGTCCCATCCCTAATGCTTCCAGCACCTTAACACACTGTGCTGGGTGCCAAGCACCCAGTACTTGGACCTTCAGGGAACAAACCACATCCAAATCATAGCAACATGCTGCACCTGGAAGCCGTGCAGAAGCCATGTCAGTCATCCTATAATGTTCATGCTAGGCAAGTATGACATGCTTGTCCATGAATAAATGTGCAATGATGTTCAGTTGATTCCAAACATTTATGCTTATTATCAGCAACCTTTTTTTGTCAAATATAAACCTCCATGGACTCCATATATCTAAAACATTTGTGCACACACAGAGGCACAAAAACAGTAAGGTTTGAAATGTATGCACACACACATACAATAACAGCAAAACTTAAAACCTAGTGTACATGTAAATATAAAACAGATTTAAAATATTCAGGTACACACATACAAAACCATTTGGTTTCTCAGGAAGTGTATATGTAGTTACGTGTATTGCATGCATCTCTTGTGAGAGGCACAAAGCACTATACACTGAGGTTTTGCACAAACAGAGCAAAACTTGTAAATCACAAGACTTATATTTTGTAGCAAAACAAAAATCCATTGCAGTGTACAGTACAGGGAGCGCTATAGTTCAGGGAACATGCTGAGTGATAAGCCAGGCACAGAAATACAAGTGTGACGTGTTCTGTCTGTCTCACACGCAGACGCTAAAGGAACGTCATCTTGGGTGTGGAATGGAGACTAGGGTGAGGAGGAAGTGTGGATTGGATCAGAGCACACTGTATGAATATGTTCAAGTTTCACGCTAACTCACACTTACCTCAGCCCATATGCATAATTAATACATGTTAACAAAAAAAATAAGATGTATTAAATGTATACTCCAAGTGTTATCACTGTGAGTTCTTCTTTAAAACATACTTCCAAAACTGTTCATTATATGTGTAGCACCATGGTTTAGAGGGACCACAGAAGGGACTAGGTTCCTGGTCAAAGAATTTTTTTTTTCCTTTTTTTTTTTTTTTTTTTTGGTTTTTCGAGACAGGGTTTCTCTGTGTAGCTTTGCGCCTTTCCTGAAACTCACTTGGTAGCCCAGGCTGGCCTCGAACTCACAGAGATCCGCCTGCCTCTGCCTCCCGAGTGCTGGGATTAAAGGCGTGCGCCACCACCGCCCGGCCCAAAGAATTTTTTTTAATCACAAAAATAGTGATCCTACTTAGTCTTAACAATAAAAACCCAGAGTCAGATATTAGGGTGAAAGCTGAAAGATCATAGAAGCAGAGCAGCCAGCCACCAGAAACTTCTTACCTCTATGAAATCTCAGACCTAATAGGCAAGCAACCTCTCTCTACCTCCCTAGTGCTGGGATTAAAGGTGTGAGCCACCACTGCCTGGCTCTGTTTCTCTTTTAGACTGGTTCAATCTCCTGTAGCCCAGGGTGACCTTGAACTCCTGATCTTCCTATTCTTCCTCCCAAGTGCTGGGATTAAAGGTGTGTGCCACCACTGCCTGGCCTCTGTGGCTAGCTAGTGGCTGGCTCTGCCCTCTGATCTCCAGGCAAGCTTTCTTTGTCAGAACACAAACAAAATATCACACAACAATAGTGAGACTCACAATTTGGGTTCACTAGAGCTCTGTAGGGTTGATTAGGACAGTCTTAATAAATACTGGCAAATTTATTAATAAGTACTGGTTTGCGGGTATTTATTAAGAACTAACTATGGTGTCAGGCCCTTTGCATGATGTACATCACTGATCACCAGATCTGATGGGAGGAGTGATGGTTTCTGTCAAGATGAGAAAACTGGAGTGCAGAGTTCAGAGCACTAAGACAAAGTGGGAAATGGGTGTAGGATTCTGAAGTTCAGCAGTTATCCTGGCAGAAAACTGGTCTGGAAGCCATGGGTGGTAACAAAACCTGATGAGACAGAGTTCCAGTGGACAAATTCAACCCTTGCAATGTTTGAAAAGGCAC